TACAGTATTTAAAACCAGAGTGGGAGGCAGAGCCTTCAGTTTTCAGGCCCCTCTTCTATGGAACCAGCTTCCAGTTTGGATTCGGGAGACAGACAGTATTTAAAACTAGAGTGGGAGGCAGAGCCTTCAGTTTTCAGGCCCCTCTTCTATGGAACCAGCTTCCAGTTTGGATTCGGGAGACAGACACTATCTCCACTTTTAAAATTAGGCTTAAAACTTTCCTTTTTGCTAAAACATATAGTTGGGGCTGGATCAGATGACCCTGGATCCTCCCTTAGTTTCGGTGGAATAGGTCTGGGCTGCTGGGAGATTCCCATGATGAAGTGTTTCTTCTTCACTCACCTTTTTTACTGTGTTATATGCCACTCTGCATTTAATCATGAATTATTATCAATCTCTGCCTTCCTCCCACAGCATGCCTTATTTCCTGTCTTAATTGACTCGAGAGTTTTTCCTTCCTACTGTTACCAAATCGCTTGCTCATCAACAGGGGGTCATATGATTATTGGGGTTTTTCTCTCTTTTCTTTGTATCATTGTAGGGTCTTTACCTTACAGTATAAGGTGCCTTGAGGCAACTGTTGTTGTGATTTGGCGTGATATAAATAAATCTATATTTAACTGAATTAACAGAGAATGAAACAAAATGGGTCTGCAGACCAGAGGGTCTGCAGATGGAAATTAGCCCAAGGCTATAATCTGGCATATTTACATTTGTTAAAATGTTCATTAATATGTATTGCCCCTCTTTCTAAAAAATAAATAAATAAAATAAATGAAGCGAACATCCAAGGAAAAGCCTTGAAATGTCCTTCAAGAAGCCTGGAGAACTATTCCTGAAGATTATTTAAAAATATTACATGAGAGGATGCCTAAGAGACCTCTTAATTTAATGTGAACAGAGATATATGAAACAAAAGCTCATTAATGTTTCAGTCATTTATTGAGACAGTTTAATTACCAACTATTACCTACTATATAATTTTGTATCCACAAATCATATTTTTCCTAAATGATATAAAGCCAAACTAGAATTTTCATAAAAAAAACCCCCCTCAAATCTGGATTATTTAATGCCTTGTATTTTTGGGTTTTTTTAAATTATTTTTTATTAGCTCATATTTTTACAAATTGACAGATACCAGGGCTTGTATATAGCTTTGGGTTTTAAGCTGAATACATACATTCCCTAACCCTTCTCAACAAACTCACAGAACAGAAGGTCTAAAATTACATATACACTTTTGACAAAACTTGATACAGAGCTGACATTTTGTTTGTTTCCAGCTGCTTGTAGGCCTCTTTCTTCTAGACTGATAAATTATTCAGCAACTCAATCAGTGAAAGTTGCCCATATGACACTTGCACACATATACAGACATGAAGTCATGTTATTAATTATAATGAGAATGACTGGTTACAATCTAAGGCCAACTGACAATGAATAGTTTGTGATAATGCAAATTACTTGTGACATACAGATCATTCTCAGGCATGTAGGCATTTGTAGCAGTGCACCTATCATGACCTAATATGCTTATGTGCAGACTTTACCCACCTGGAGAGTCTTCTTCAGTTATGTGAATGACCTGACAAAAAGCTGTATTACGTAGAAACTATAATTCTAACAAGTCTGGTATAACATATAGCATACAAGTAGAACAGAGTTAAGGCTGCTTTGAAATGTGCTTCATTCTTTTTAGAAATAAACAATGGAAATGTATGCCATTTTTACAAGGTTATTGCATGTATCTAAAAAGTGTGAAAAAATGATGTAATAGCACTGATATAATAAACGAAGACTAGACATGAATTAAAATTACTATGAAATGATGCTGTGTACTAACACATAATTTTATCTCTATTCTTTGTTAGTTTGTTCACATCAACTTATATACTGTTTGTGTATTGAGCTGGATATTGCGATAGCTGCACGACTTCCAAAACACACATGACCTGAAAAATGGCCTAATATTAGAATATATTTAGACAACCAGTAAAGCTAAACAGAAGCAAAAACAAAACAAAAATATAATAATAATAATAATAATAATAATAGAAAACTAAAAATAATAGTTCTTAATTTCATCAAAGGTGCTTGAAAGGATCATATAACTAGATGGATAAACATGCTGCAGAACATGAACATCCCAGTCACCAGGAACAACCTGCCTCGAGTCCATCTTCAACCTATTTTGTCAGTAAGATGGTCAAAAACTGCTGCTCCAACCATGACCCCAATGAAGACAATGGTAGCTGTGTTTTTCTGTTGGTTTTTGTCTTATCACAAACCAGATCCCACTATGAAGGGAGGATGGCCGAAAGAAGAACTTTAGCTGATTTAGGACTGGTATTCATTTCCTGGTTTTTAAATGGAAATATTGAATCTCACCTCTGTAGCCAGAGTAGATTTGAAGGTGGTGGAAAACAATAACTTGGGTGCACCTAACAGGCCAAACATTTACTTTATACTGAGGATGGTAGGATGGAAATTTCCTAATTTAAAAAAAAAAGCATGCATGGAAAGTGGAAGTCAATAAAGCATGGAAGTAAATAAACTCAATAAAGTAAAGTAAGCATCCCCATCGATTCACTATCAATACCAGCCTATCTTTTCATTTGCTAATGAAATGTGTTGTATACAGTGAAACATGACAAGACTAGTGAATGACAAGTGAATAATAGTGGTGCTAACATTACATTTATTGACACTCGTTGAGAATTTCAACAATGATGATCTTTGAAGTTGTAACATGGTAACTTTACTATTTAAAAATCAGTTAAGATCCAATCATTATAAGTCTTATTATGGATGACTGTGTTTTTCTTATTGAATCTCCTTCCTTGGTGACTGTCTCCTGCAATATAAATAAGACTTCAGTTAGTCATTTGACCTTACATGCAGACATCAGGACATAGAATGTAATGTGTATTTTGGACTTTGATAAACAGTAAACTGCAGTTTACTGGA